ATCTCCCCACGTTGAACGCTCACACTCCAACATTTATGGTGCTTGAACTCGGGTCCTCAAGGAATAACAACAATTCATTTACCACGGATGCCACTTGGCTCATGCTAAGAAAGTTAAAAATTAATTTAACTGAACGAGCACATTTGGTTAGTTGACCAAATTACTCATTTTTGTTTCTTTATATTCTCTTAGGTCATGAATTCTAGACTTGCTAAAAATCACTTTCCTTTCTTCTAAAGTCCTCCTTTATTTTCACTTTCCTTTCTTCTAAAGTCCTCCTTTATTTTCTCTTTATGTAAGATTAAAATAAGATTTAAAATTTGTCAAGAAAAATAATTCAACTAAACATATATGAAATCGATTATAAAGTTTAAGGGATAAATTTATCATTATATATTTTATATAATTCTAAAATTCTTTGAAGAGAATAAATGGTTTTGATTTGAGGCTTGTTGGCTTAACGCATAAGTGGGTGTTGGACTAAGAAATCAGGGTCGGGCCGGCGCAGTCTGGTTCTAAGCTTATCACTAAAATGACTTGGATGCCCAATAACAATGATTTTAAAACCGGATCGGACTTTAAACCGGTGAAGATATTAATTCACTAGTTCAACCGGGTTGAACCGGTTTATATAAAATAATATTTTTTTTTAAAATTTTAAATAATACTCAAAACAATATTAATATATACAACCATACAGAAAAATGTCTAAAGAGCATAGAAGAGTAAAAATAAGAGAACAAAACAATCTCACATGGCTAAGAAACATAGAAGAGCATCCCAACTAACTTCTATAAATAATAGATGTAATTTGACATTCAAAATCACAGAGCCTTGTGGTGAGCACAGAGCGAACTATTCTTTCGCTTCAATCAAGCTTGAGTTTTGGACTTCAATCGAGCTTCTGAATTTTTTTGAGTTCAAGCTTTTTCAAGCTCGAGTTTCAATATTATATTTCGAGTTCAAGCTGAGCTTGATAATTTTTAGCTTGCGAGTTTTTGAGTCGAGTGAGCTTACTTTTAAAGTTTTCGAGTTCGAGTCGAGCTCAGCAATACTCGAGTTCGACTCGGCTTGTTTAACAAACGACGTTGTTTGGTTTAATTTTAAAAAAAAAAAACAGAACCGACGGTTCACACTGATTTTGCCGGTTTTTAGCCGATTCAAACCGTTTTTACCGGTTCTACCGGTTTTTAATCGGTTCATTGCAAAACTGGTTTTGGAAGCTGACCGGATCGGACAGACAACTGGTTCCCGATTTAATCAGTTGAACCGGCCAGTCCGGTCCGGTTTTGATAACCATGCCAATAACACATGACATGAAAGAAAATATGGCAAATTGCTGGATTGGTCACTTTTTTCAGTTTTCTTCACTTTTGGTTACTTATTTTTTTCGAAAAAAGTTATATTTCGGTCACTTACATTCATTAAATGTCGATTATTTACATTAATGATTATTAAATTTTGGTTACTTACATTATTAATTGTTAATTTTAGTCATTGAGCCATTAATGTATATTACTTTGATGATATGGTGTGTTAATAAAACTGGTTAATTTTTAAATTAACCTCTAAAGTTTAGATAGAATATTAATTTAGCCCTTAAACTTTAGATAAAATATCATTTTGACCCCTAAACTATAGATAAAATATTGATTTGATCCATGAATTTGATCAAAGTGTTCCACTACCAATTGCCACTCACCATCGTTGTTCGGCCATCGTCAGTCGTCATCTGGTGTCTTAGTTGATGACTGTTGGACCGTAATATTTTCAATTTTTTCATTTTTAGCATCCTTAACGTGAAGTTGATGTTCGTTTCACCGAAAAATGCTTCGGACTCAACAAATCTAACTTAGATTCCTTTGCATTCCTTTACAATTAAACCATAATAATAAATTTATCGTTAGTAATTTTTAAAAACAATAATACTAAAAATTTAAATATATATCATAACCAAATTCATAATTTTTTTAATATTGTTATAATTGTAAATTTAAAAATGTGTCAATAATCTCTAGAGTATGTTGTTAAAAGCTCTCAGTTGACACATCTCCCCTCCCCTGAGTTATGGGTTCAACACCGATTATGAATAAAATTCTCTTTCCCCTCTTCTAAATATGAATTGTTTAAAAAATATATAAATATTTATAATTTATAATTAATATTGACATGTTAAACATGAATGTTAGGCTATTCACCAGACCTTCAACAAGTCTATCCTATGCTACCATTTATTTTCTTTTGTTTTTTTTTATTTTCTGCTACAGTTTGTGATACTATTAATCGTTTCATCATCAGTTTCTTTTTTTTTACTGTACCAGGTGCTAGTGTAGAATCACTACTAAATTTTCATGTATTAAAAGTTTAATTTAAAAATAAATATTTGAAGTATATAATTTTTTCACCTACATATCTAAAGTATTTATTATCTAAACATCAACGTCATATGTCAATTTTAGGTACCTAAACGAAAAAAAGATAATATACTTTGATTAAAAATATTTTAAATATTTAAATAAATGGATAATACACATTAAATATGTTTTGAAATAAACCTAAAATAAAATAAAATAAAATAAAAGATGATAAACTTGAATAAAACGACACGAAATATGATGGTTTGTTAATTAATTATGTCGTCCATGAAAACACCCACTAATAAAAGATAATATATATTAATTAATGAAAAGCACTTCCGCCACTAGTTTTATGAATCCATGCCTTTTCACTTTTGTACAATATCCCCATACAACATTTATATTTACATATTTCCAGTGCATATCATTCATAACCAAAACGGGTTCTTTTCCTGTGTTCTCGAGTCCTAGTAACGTACCAAAAACGGCTTATCAACTCCCTCATAATTGCTCAACTTGGGTTTAATTACTTGGCTTAATTTTTGTAAATGATTAGAGGAGGACTGCAATTTGGCGAGTTGCTTAAGATTTTGCGAAGTGGGGGAGTAAAGAAAGCAGGCCACTAATGCTTTTGATTAATATCTTTAAGATCATAACTTGATTCTCTTTGTCTGCCTTGTTTCACTTGTACTAGTTTGAAGAGTTACAAGTGGCATCTGTATGTGAAATACCACCAAATAAATGAACAAAAGCCAGCCAGCCAACTTTAGATAGGCATCCATTATGAACTTAAACTATATTATAATGTTTTTAAAATGTTGTTTTAGAAGCATCTATTAATAATGAGTCACGTTTTATGTATTTAAATATTTAAAATAATGATATATACTTTTAATTATTAAGTAACTTAAATAGATAAAATGTTAGGTTAATGATTTAAGTTAATAATAAGCTAGGTAATCAATAAATCAAATATCGTTATCAATCTCTCACATTAAATTAATTCTCCTCATAGATATTATACTTTTTTCTGGACAAAAATTAATTTTTTTAAAATCCCACAAGAGTGGAACTAACCAAAATTAATTTTATATGATTGCGATTTATTTTAGAATTTAAAATTTTAAGATTTACGATTTTAGGATTAACAACCTTATGTTTTTGGTTTTTAATTAGGGTCAAAACATTAAAGAGAACAAAGTTTAGTGGTGTGGTTGATGTAGTATATTATCGATGAAAATCTAGAGGTGATATATTATTAGTGGATGCTTAAAAATAATTCTTTCAATATCATCCTAGTCCAAATTAAACTCCTATGTTACATCTATATTTCAATCCTTTGTCCACATTTCTAACTTCACATTGGCATATAAAATTAGAGGTGGTAAATTGATCATTCGGATAAGGTTTGAGTTGAATTATTTTGGGTCGTCTCATTTCGGATCTAGATTATATTCGGTTTAATTTCAATCGGGTTGGTTTAGATCTGGTTCGGATTTAGTTCAGGTGTATGGTAAATCGGGTCGGGTCAATTTTCAGGTCGATTAATTTTGAGTTGGATTAATATCGGATCGGTTAATTTTTAGGTCGGATTAATATCGAATCTGTTAGATTTCGGGTCGGGTCAATATCGGATCGGTTGATTTTCGGTTTGGGTTAAACTTTGGATCAGGTCAATTCGGGTTGAATTGGTTATGAGTCTAAACAAGTAATATATAGAACTATTAATATATTCTTATAAAAAAATATGTCTTCTTGTTTGTTAATCTTATCATTTAGACAATTAGACTTAATTCCAATTCTCAATAGTTCAATATTTTGAATTAAACCATCATTTAGATATGATAAATTGATAATTTGACATAAATACAATCTTATAATGCGTGCTAGAGTTTGTTACCAAAATTTTATATTGATCTTGTACAAAAAGTTTATAATAACAACTAGTTGATAAAGAAATAAAGTTTTATTTTCAATTATAAATTTAATATTTTATTAAATTTTGAAAAATAATATATAACTTTATTTATTACGTTTTAATTGTAACATAAGTTCTATTATTTTTTTATTATAAATCTAATATTATTTCTTTTGTTTTAGTTGTTTTCAATTATTTTTATTATAAATTTAATATTTTTATCATAAGTAACATAAATAAATTTTATTTGTTAATGTTTTAAATATTACTTGTATTTCTCTTATTATGTAACATAAGTAAACTTTAGTTGTTTGGATTGCTTTCGGTTCGGATTAGTCTCGGTTTGGGTTACATCTGGGTCGGTTTAAATTCAGTCTTGATTACTTTCGATTCGTGTTATTTTTCGGTTCGAGTTGCTTTCGATTCAAGTCAATTCGATTCGGGTCAAATTGGATATGGGTTCATATTGATTCAGCTAAATTTTGGAATGAGTATGGTTCATGTTTCATAACAAATTTAATCATCATGTTCGAGTTAATATAAAGTATTGGGTCGGGTAAATCGGTTCGGGTAATCGAGTTCGGGTCCAGTTTGCTAAGTCTATATAAAATAAGATAAAAAAGAAAGGATAAAATCGTCACTCAAGTGATACTCCCATGGTTATATAAGCCAGGCCTGAGCCTCATAGTTATATAACATCAAATATTATCAAACCCCAACAAAAAATGGAAAAATTGTTTATGTTGCTATTGCTAGCATTAGCAGCTACCGGTAAGTCTTCGGTTGTTTCAGCCGCCGACGCCTACGAATCGCCGCAATTCAGAGTAGTACACTTAGAATCAGATTTCGAAATAAGATTATACAAGGAAATCTCTTGGATGTCAGCTCTTGTCAATGGAACTTCCTTCCAGAATTCCACTAAACAAGGCTTTCACAGGTTGTTACCCAAGCTTAAAATTTTATAAAACCGTTTTCCTAACATAAAATTTTACGTCGATTCTTATTCTAATTCGCTTGTTTTAGGTTGTATCAGTATCTTCAAGGGGCAAACCGTAACTCCACCTGTTTCTCGATGACAAAGCCCGTCTTAACCACCATCGTTCCTTCTCACAGCGGAGGGTCGCCGTCATCCTATATCGTGAGGTATTATCTGCCTGCAGCATATAACAATAAGTCTCCGCCGCCGCCTTTGGCGGAGTTGAACCTGCAGTTGGACAAGTGGAAAAGCCACTGTATTGCAGTGAGAAAGTTCACCGGATATGCTAGGGACGACAATGTGGAGAAAGAGAAAGATGGTCTGGTTGCTAGCCTTGGTAAAAGTTTGATGCAAGGAATGGATCAAAACCAGAATTATAACTACAGCATTGCGCAGTACAATGCTTCGAAGCATCCCACCGGCCGCATAAACGAGGTTTGGATGGATGTCTTGGGTTTTGCCGCCGAAGGATGTGCACAGTAGCCATGAAAAATTTCGACTTCGAAACCATAATTATGTTGTGAGATAAGTGAATAATGGTGTCAGTTAGGAAAATTTTATATTTGTGGATTTCTAGTAGCTTTTTAATAAACTAGTTATGTTTAGTGTGCACGTGAACAATAAGCTAATGCTATTTTTATACAATGTGAAAGCTAGGTATTTCTATAATTTTTTTGAACTTTAAAAAATAAAAATACCGGTTCAAAAAAAAATTAACTAAAGTTTTATGTAATTAGAACATTTGACCGTTTAATACTCTAATAATAATATCAATCCCATCGAGTGAAATTTTGCTTGAGCACATACTCTTTCAAATTTAAATTTTATTGTATTCACAATATTTTATATTTAGATTTGATTCAAGTTAGAAAAACTTAAAAGATCTAAATAATTTTAAATATTAAAAAAATTATAATTATTTTATTTCTAATATAGTAATTAATTTTAATTTTATAATATATCAATATAATCTAAATTCACCTCATAAAAAGAACAAAATTATATAATGTTATTTATAAAAGAGAGTTCATATAATAAAACTAAACGTGTTTATTATATATAATATTTTTAATCATATTGGATGTATATGAATTTTCTGCAATCGGTTATTATCTATAATGTTTAAAAGCGATTTTGGAAAAACATTTTATTAAATTCAAAAACCAATTCCATAAAATTCATATACATATATTATAGTCATAAATATCATATTTACTTTTTATTATTTATCATATTACTACATTGATATCCGAATAAATTTTATTTTAAATAATAAAATTATTTATTAAATTTAAGAACTCAATACTTATATTCTTAAATTAATACCAATTTATATTCTAAAAATTTAATTTTAAAACTCAACCCAAAATATATTAACACAAATCCGAAAAACAAAGCTACTTTTGTATCGACTCAATTATATTGGAAGGTTGGGACCTATGATTGGAGATGATCCCATTTCTCTATTGACCGAAAACAAACACAAGTAAAAAACCAAGAAAATTTACATAAGATAATAATAAATGTATAAAAAAATTATGCAAATAATATGTAATATCTTGAAATATGGATATAACATCGATCAAATAAATTCATTTTTTTAATTTATTTAAAGTAAGTATAATTAGTATTTGTTTTAAAGATTCTTAACCGTTTGATAATGAGAGTACCTTTGGAATTTCTAGTGCTCAAACTTAATTATTGAGGTAATTTGATTCATACAAATTAATTCATTTTTATAATCTCAAAACCATATTTACGTAAAATAATAAATGACTTTTGAAAACCCCAAAACCATGTTTACCTAAATTAACCAAGAACATTAATAAATGGCATTGCTCAGTTGTCATATAATCTATCTCCTCAGATTTTATATCAAGTTATCCCATATATAATATATATTTGATTTAACCATTGATCCTCATCTATTGATCGATTATAAGAGATAACTTTGATTATAGTGTCTACTTTAAATTTATTAAAAAAACAAGGATAGATGTAATCCAAATATTCAAAGTATTTCAAATGCATGCGCGGAGAACGTGAAATTCTGTGTGAAGTCCACGATACATGGCATATGTTAAACCAGAATTAAGTAATGATGTGGGATATACGTTTGAGTTGGCAATGCCTCAGTCGTCGGTAAAGAATTGTCCCGACAGGTTATCCATAACCGCGAATTGCATGCTCTCCGATGGTTTCCAGTGCCGCTTTCTTTGATTTATAAACCAGTTATTTATTTGTTTCTGGTCTAGTCCCGTCGATTCAGCCAATGCTATCTTGTCAGCTTCCTGAATGATTCCACCAGCCAAAATATGAAACTTCTGCCCGTATATTAGAAATATAACATGTACAGATGTACTCCACTAGCATAAGGAAATTGGGATGAAATTACCGTTGGATATGGCCATTTGTAGTGAACATTCCACCATTCCAGCAACATTTGTCGTGCTTCTCTTGGTAGTTTCCCTTTCTTCTTCTTCTTCGAGAACTCCAACTTCAAGCTACTTATATGACTGCCGAATCTCCGAAGCAGCCTATCTTTCAGACCTTGCTCTTCCCTTCTTGCCTTCCCTTCTACCACTTCTACTTCTCCACCACCAACATCTTCATCCGATGATTCTCCACCTTCATCTGCCCCTCACAACATAACACACAAACACATACATAAAAGTTCAATCACTTTGGAAAGATTACATACATATACATGTGCATAAATGTATGGAAAGATTACATTGCCACGATAATGTTTTCATTCCAAGCTAGGAATAGGATTCCATGGACCGAGTAACACAATCATTTTACAAGCGGATATGATCTTTCACGAGTTATATTTTCTACACTTTAAGATTGAAGCGGATATATAATTTCTGTGGTTTCAATGGAGCTAAAGCAGCCAGCTTAAACTATATGGCTAAACATTATACGTCTTATTAGCTTTCAGGTACCCTAAAAATAAGTTGTTAAAGTTTATTCAAAATATGCAATGTATTTTCAATAAAAAATTGTGACGATCGTATAGCTAAAAGAGCTGAGGGTGCAGACTGAGAGCACTGCAAAAAATACAGACATTACACAGTGAACAACATGGAGACCCAAAACGCAGAGACGTGACGATTCGGGCAAAGGACAAACAATATGACTGTCTGGTTAGGTTCATTGTCAGTCTCAATGGGAGACCCGAGTTAACATGACAGTACGGCCATCATATCACATAATACATTTGCCAGAAAAGTCAAGGAAATAGAACGATATGGAAACAAAGGATACCTTTTTTTCAGAAGGCTAAAACTACCCCCCCCCCCCCCGGCGAAAGCTCGGTCCCCCAATTATTAAGTGGTGTAGATATAATGCCCAGCAGATCCTCCCACTAATCTGACCCTAGCTCGGGTATAGTCCTCAAATATGGAGGGTCTTCACATTTCCAATTTTCTCTCATCAATTTTTTTTTAAAAATACATTTTTAACACCCTTTTGAGATTAATAATTGAAAATATTTTCATTTGATGAATTATTTGAGTGTTTAAGCAGAAGTATGGAAGCGGTGTGGGTGAGGAAAAATGTCTTGACAAAATAAAGAACGAATGGGGCGCTAAAGGTGGAGCCCAGGTTTCTCAGATATCATGCAGACACGTGTGTTGCACGTTAATAAATGCAGTGAAAGAGACTACCAGAGAGGTAGACCCACCAAGGAAACAACAATATCCATTGGATATGACATGCACCAAGCAAGAGCCAGCAGAGAGGAAGATAAGAAAAAGAAATGATTCTACAAATTGAATGAATCATTTTCTTTTTCAAATGAAAAAAACTGATGGGTTCTCAGCGAAACCCACGGGAGTTCATGTGAAAACTCCGACCACTTGAATTAAATCAGAGGCTTTTTCCCATACCTAAAAAAAAGGTTCTATTAGTAGTAAACTTTGCTTTGGGTTGGACCCCTTATATCAGCTGCAGATGAAGTGACCAGTTACGTACTTTGAGGATACCCCCTACGAAGCTCTTTCTTTTGTGGGACAACTATACCTTAATAGCCATTGGACATTCATCACTTGAAGCACAGACAATGATATTTCTTGTTACTATCAACCATGTGCTTTGCTAATCTCAACTTACTATTCCTAGAATAAATAAATTATATATAAACATGTAAAGAAGCTTTCATTTACTAATCTCATCATTCTCTTTGATGAATCAACTCATCATCCCTCTAACTAAACATATTTTGTGTGCACAAGTCACTTGATTTAATCATGTAACATAAAGAACAAAAAAGCAAGTAAAAATAGCTTACTGAGTCATGACAACTTCAAAACTATCAAAAAAACACCTAAAAAGGATTATATTGCTAAAAAGATGTTAAGCTCGATCCAATTAAAACCTAGTTAATCACGATATTGACAATATAAATAATGAAATGGCAGAAATATTAACATAAACACCTAAAAAAGGATCATATTGCAAAAAGATGTTAGCTTGATCAACTCAATAGGAAGAAAGCTTTTCATAATAGTCTTCCTTCCCTACACATCTCCACTTTTCTTTGGATTATTCTACATGAAAAGGAACCACAAAAGCTAAATCTACCATATGTCGGATAATTGCAGCAATATATATATATGTGTGTGTGCGTGCGTGCTAATGTTAATTTGGATAAAACCTATAGCTGTCCTTAAGTGGAAGATGATTCTATAAAAAAGGGGAGATGTCACAAACAACATATAATTTCAAATAGGCAGATAACATATCATACACCTAGAGAGCAGCCATGGCAGTTATTCATTTAAACACAAACCAAACATGTGAATTTATACGAATAAAATCTTCAAATCGATCCCTATTGAAGACAACATTATAATGGTTACATGTGTAACGAATCTTAGTTCTTTATATATATATATTTTTCTCTTTTTCGACCAGAGGACGGGTAAGTTAATACAATTCTGGCATAAAATAACGTGCACAACCGACCAAAGCAGAAGAAAGATAAAAGCAAATGAAGTGATTAAAGAGAATGATGATAGCATCATCAAAAAGGTAAATTGTACTTTGAAACAATTAACAATTATAGTTGCCAACCATCCACAACCAGAGAATGCAGTGATTTACAACCTTTTTGACAATGCCATCACTCTTTCAAAGTATGTATATAATATCTAAGGCTGCTATACACATGCTAATGGCACAAGCCAACACCCGTCCCCCGTACAAATGGAAAACATCAGCAGCTTTTTTCATAATGGATTCCTAAGATTTCTAACCCCAACTCAATAAAGAAAGAATTTGTTGAAGCAAAAGCAGTATCAATAACTAAGATTTTGTTCAAGCCTATCCAGTTTCCAGCATAGTGACAAAAAAGCAACCTCAATTGACAGTAAAATAATAGATATGGAAGAAACAAAAGATGGTTGTAAGTCTTAAACCTCAGTTCTAGTCCTTTATGGAAAGTCACCATGATCTACACTCACATGATCTCGGAAAACTCTTGTGCAAATCAATGTTTAACTTATATATTTTCAGAACTCAGCTATCCAAAACAACTTTCAATAAGATATAGATGTTGAAAATATATATATTACTTTAGCAGCATATAAGCCAGTCCTAAAGTAGAAAATTCTTAAAATTCTACACTTTCCACTATTCATATGCATGACAACTAATGCTCTATTGGAACTTGGTACGCATTCAAAAGACCAGACTGCACATCATTACAGACCATTATCATTCCACTAAAATAAGGCAAAACATCTTATTTTAAAGAACTGGATAAAAAACATGCAAGACACGGAATATGAATAATAAGCTTTATTCAATGTCATTACATTCCCACACGTGTGCAACTCAAATATGATAATCAAAGGCAACATATAATGACCTTCGTAAGTTTGAAACTTTGTAATAAGATGAAGAATATGCAATCAGATAACTTGTTAAACTACTAAGACACTGCTGCATGAAAAACCTATTTCTTACTTGATGCAGTGTACAAAATTTTAACTTGCTCTTTCTTGCTTTTAATCAATATTTGTTTTCTTGTTTATCCTTCTTAAATTTGGGTGTAAATACGAACTTTTTAACCAAAAATAATTAGTTTATTTCCCAAAACTCAACAATCTATAATCAATCCTACCATAAAATCATGATTAACAATACCATAGCACTCTATACATTACTGCACGTCTATGTTACACCAACTCCTAAAACACTTCTCGGAAACTTGACTGGCCACACAGGTACGTCAATAGGGTCTTAAAAGTAAACGTTTAAATTGTCAATAAACATGGCTTACTCGTATTCGTCGTTCTATCCTCAGTCCCCGCAACAACGATGCCGCTTCTGAAGTTAATATTATATTAACAAAAAATAACAAGAGAATATAAAACTCAATCATCAACATATCCAATAGAAAAGTTTTATATATTGACTTGCATGATGGGTTTGATTGACTTGCATGTAACCTTATAATGAAAAGGATTGTGTTGATAACAGAGAACACCAGGACCACAGTACGGTATAAGATTTCAAAACACAATAAAATACATTAACCAAGTGATCTTCAAAATCAATCCTTGTGCTTATACAGATTAGCTTTTTTATTCGGCCAACAAAGTTGGGGAAATAAGTGTAGTAGCACATTTTTAAGTATGACCTTTTGGATAACTAGATTGCTATCATCAAATTTCAACAAGGCTAGCTCATTAGTAGTGAATTTTGTGGACTCAAGTTCTCAACCAAACCAGACATGCATTTTCAAAAGGAATATGTAATTGTAATTAGTAGGCAAGTGGAGAGAAACGCTCGTTGGACCAAATCATCATATTACTTCAGATCAAAACAGATTACTTTGAGAACAAAAAATAAAACAAGGTTAATCCGGACAATATACTTCCAAACTGGAGAGAGAGAAAAAGAGTCTTTAGTCTAAACGTTCAATCAACTCAAAACAAAAGGGCCTTTGTACTCTATAAGTAGGTATTTCCATCATCAAAGGCATTGCATAAAAAAAAAAGAACAGTTGATAAGACATCATCATGTTCGGACCATCAAGCAAAGCAAATAGATACTATTACGCATGGCACACTAAACCCTGAAACGTCATTTCAGAATCTCTCAGAAACACAAAAGGTGTTTACATTTCAGGCTTCGTTTCTCTATGACTCGGCAAAAATGATGAAACAAGACCAAAAAATAAAAAGATTATCAGCAAGCAAAAATGAACCCCCCACCCCACCCCGGATCATCCATAGTATCATTCGTTTAGGACAATACAGATCAAAATGGAAGAAACATGAAGTCATCGTCACCATAACATTATTGGAAAACAAAAGAATTCAGATTATAAACACAAATTGGAAGGTTTAGAAAGGAATGGTGGAGAGTAAACCAAGGAAGGACACGGGTCTATTTCATCTCTAGGGTTTTCCGTTGTTTGTTAGTGGTTAGTATTATTATTTGACATACTCGAAACTTTGGATTTATTCTATTGAGTTACTGTTTGTGGCCTCCATTAGTGGGTTCTTTTTCAGAAAATGATAGATGAGATCTATGATTTATGACTAGGTAAGGAATGGTTATCGCTCTTTCCATGCCTCATATGTTTATCATATGCACCGGAAACCTACAAAACTCCCGAGTTTCGCCTGCTATAGTTGCAGAGATGATTTCGTTGGGAAATTCATATAGATTGATTTTTAGCTTGTTTAGGCGTTTTGGGGTGAAAATTTCTTCGTTAAGTGGAGCAGATACTGCAGGTATGGAAAGACGCAGATTTTGGAAAGAGCACAGAAACCAAGAACCCAGAAAAAAATAAACAAAGAATATAAAGGAATTTATATATATTTCAGAAAGAGAGGTGGACTGACCAGAAGGACCTCTAATAGAAGAACCGGTGCAGAGATTTCGAAGCTGTATTTCAATCTTGTTTAGAAAGGTGGTTGCTTCATCAAATGGCCTTGAGAGATCAGATTTAAATTTCAGTAACATATCGCAGTAAGTTTCCTGGAGAAAAAACACACGCACAGAAAGGAAATACAGCGAAATTCATTATATGTATAATGAAAATAGAAAGAATAAAAAGACAGCAAAAGAGAAAAAAAAACGGTAATACCATGAACTCGTCGAGCTCAGGGTCGGCTCCAAAGCAGGTTGGCCCGATATCCCGCCTGTTAACGTCGTTCTCCCTCAGAATTTCATCTAGTATACTCGATATCTCCGGTGGCGCCCCGACCTAGAGTACAAAACAAATACACAAACAACTGAACCTACTTTTCAAGAAAATTACAACAAACAGTTTACATGTGCTTTACTGAAATCCATCATATATTTTCCATAAAATCATGGGAATTGATGGAGGAAGAAAAAGGGTTTGGAGCCTGGAAACGAAAGGGTACGAAGTATAGTAAAATAAAGAGCTTTAAGTTCCAAAACCAGTAATATTTCGAGCTAAAAGCCTTTTGCGTCAAACTTTGAGAAAACCAAAGTAAACCCTCATTTATGGCGGAAAATTGAAACTCAACTAACTAACAAAAGCAACTGCAGTGAAAGCTTTCTCCTTCATTTTTCTTATTTTTATAAAACTTATGTTGAAGTGTTCCTGCACATATCATCTACGCAGTTATGTAACATCATAAATATAAAAGACAAAGGGCTTCGAATTCGGTGTGTTTATATATTTCTTTTCACCTTCTGGCAATCAATATAAGCTTGAAGCAAGCGCGGGAAGGAAGGGTGGGAAGCGACTTTGGCTTTGACGACACATGAGATGTCTTCTTCTCGTCGAATTTCAGGGGTGATGGAAGTAGCTTCCGATATGGCAGAGGCGGCGGAGATTAACTCGTCGGATCCAAACATCGGAACCCGAACCGACGAGCAAAGCCAAGCATGGTAGTCTGACGGGAGGATCATGTTTTCCGGTGACATCAACGCCTTGTCAGCGTACTCTCCCGCGGTGGCGTTGTAACTGTACATTCCGTCCATCAAAACAAGACTCCTTCAACTTAACAAAACCAAGAAAGAAAAAGAAAGAAAGAAGCTTGGGAATATTAATGATTAACGGGATAAGATAAGTAAACAGGTCTCTCTTTTTTTAAGGGGCTTTTCAAAGTAGACAGGTTTTTGTATAACAAAGAAGAAATAACATGAATTTCTGGGATTTTGGGCAACAATAATAATTAGTAGTAGCTAATTTGTTTTTCAATTTCGAATATACAAAACGACAGATTGGATTTGCAGGAATTAGAAATGGTAGTGGTGTTGGAGAGTGTATACTATTAAACAAAAAATCAAAAGAAAGCTCGTCTTCCATTTTTCTTTTTCTTTTTTCTGATTTTCTTGTTTTATTTTTTATTTAATTGTTGACAGCACTTCAATATAAAAAAATGTTCAAATTATATATACATAGGTGTTTAATTTTTTTTGGGTCAATCTAGAAGTTTAAAATTACCAACGTAATCATTTTTAATATTTCAATAGTAATGATGATTAAATTTTTTTTTGTTAATTGACACATCATATTTTGATAATTTTAAAAAATTTATTTACAATAATAAATTTTAAATTATAATTAAAAAACTTAATTATTTTCCTCAAATCTTAACAAATCTCAAATTTTTTTATTTTTTCAAAACTCCATAACAACGTCGGTTGTCACCCTTTGTCGTCATCGTTGTCGTTGACTGAACCTACTCTTGACTGCGTCTCCACCCGACGAACTCAAATCACGATTTCAACCCAACGAACGGTAAGGGAAAAATCACGACATTTGCATGACCCACGGGACCATACGATGCAGGGTGACGACAGTAAAAAAGAGAGATTACAATGGCGGCGTTGGCGGATAGGGGAGATGATAAGGCTAGGGTAAGTGATTTTAGAGTTGATTTTACGAATTTAAGACTTTTTTTGTAATTTTAGAATTTTTTTTTAATTTTTATATATAATAATGTTTTATTTGAAAAAAATCAAAATTACCAGAACATTAAACATGTCACTTGATAAAAAAAAATTAACATTATTATGTTCGATGCACTTAAAATAGTAACGTTTGTAACGTTAAGCACTTTGATTAATCGAACAATGTTTAAGCAACTAAATAGAAAAAAAATGATATAGTCTAAGTATATTTTTATATATATTAAGTTTGTAGAAAACGAGGTATTACGAATATGTAGTATTTCTAATTTAATAGTTGATTGTTGGTTTTTTAGATAAAATGTATATTATGTTCCTCCCCGATGCAGTAGATGAAAACATTACAAGTCAAATTAAGCAAAGAAATCAGCAAGTGTTTTTCGCTTATGATAATGGTAAATGATTTTATTTTATAACATGTATTTTTATATTATATTATGTTATATTCTTTTCTTTTTTCTCTTGAAATTAAACTTGATATCGTTTCTCTAGATTTAGATAATGTTTATTTAATTATTCTGTTAATTTATTATTGTTTTAGATCATAATTGAATATTAATATATGTTCATAATTATAGAAGATGAATCGTGATTAATATGATAATATCAGTTTGTCAACGATATATCATTGTTATATAAATTTCCATGTTAGTGTTGATGATGTTTATCATTCATTATTTGTATCTATTATTTGTCGGAATTAATTTTGGTTGAATTTTTTACTTTTTAATTGTATGCTTTTTTTATTAAATGAATATTTTATGCATTTTGATAGTTTTAATGAAAATGTTTTATTCACGTGATTAGTTTTCTCCTTTTTTTAATTTTTTCTTAGATTTAATATATATTTTTAATAAAACTAATTGTTATTATTAATTTAAAAAATAGTATTATCAATGGCGGATCTATAAATATTTTTAAAGTTAATATATATATATATATATATATATATATTAATAATAAAAATATTTCGTATGAGATAGACACAAATAAAAGTTTAGGATAAACATAAATAATAAAATAAATAATTAATATAAAGAAATTTAGAATCCAAGATATACACGTACCCACTCTAAAATACGAATACGTCTGCCCCGCTTATTCCATGCATTTTATAGGTAAAGAAACCATACCATTTGCTAAACATGGAGAATATTTCTTTTTAAATAATCACTATTATTTTATTGATTAATTAATTAATTTGAATAGAGAATTATAAAGTCTTATTTATGGAGTAATTTTTATTCTATTTATAAAGTTAGAATTAAACAAAAATATTTCAATAGATCAATAATAATTGATTTGAAGAATATTTATTAAATAATAATATAAGTATTAGGAAATTATAATAATATAAAATTAAGTAATCAAATTATTATATTATTTTAAAGACAAATTTATTGATATAAAAAGCAAAACTAATTGATTCAGCTAAACGTTAAGACCCAAAAAGACTCTTCACAATGAAAAAACAGAGAGTTAATCAAGGTTTATTGATATCAATTAATAAATTTGCTTAATCATATTCCTTTATATGTGCAGGAACCTCATACTTCAAGAGATAATAATAAATTCCTTAATTATTGATGTCGCTTGATTAGTGCATTAACATCAATTAAAATTATATTATGAATTTAAAATATAATTTGTATATGTTTAATTTAATAAAAACAATAATTTAAATCCAAATATAAATAAAATGAATTCTCACTCTCTATAAAAGTACACATTTAAAAAAATCAATTGTTCAATACATATTTTATATATATTATAACAACAAAATCAATTAATTCTAAAATTTTAAAATATAACAAAATGACACGTGTTGACTTTATAATCATACTTATAGAATTAAAATAAAATTGATTAATATCATTTAAATTTCTATAAAACTAGGTTGTGAAGATTATTCAGTTATTATTTTTCTTAAGGTATAATATAAAAAATAACCCTCAATATTTATTAAAATGGTCATTTTAATATATATTTTTTGCATCATTTTGGCCACAACGTTTCACTTTGGGACAAAAAACTCCATCTATACATGAAAATTATTAGTTAACAAACGACTAATGCTCCAAAATATAAGCCTTTTTTAACCTAAGGGTCTGTTTGTTTCTTGTAAAACATTTTTTGAAAAAAGTTTCCAGTGTTTGGTTGGAGGAAAACATATTGGTCAATGTAAAATATTTTTTTTTGTCAACAAAATTTCATTTGCATTTTATGGAAAATGACTTACTGTTTGATTTTTAATAAATTATTTTTTGAATTTTTCAATTTAAAGCATAAATACTCAAAATAATATTATTTTATGTATTTAATATTAATATAATATTTTAGTATCATTTTAATAAAATATTAATTATTAACATATTTAAATTATATTTATTAATAATTTAATAATATAAAATAATACTATTATTGTTAAAATAATATACTCAATTATATTATAATAATATATGATACTATTATATTCTTATTTTAATAATATATAACAAATTATTAATACAACTTATATTATTTATTAATTTCTTAAAATAATATTATTGAATTATTAATAGTGAATAATATTATTTATTTATATAATATTAATAGAATAGTCTAATAATATTTTAATAAAAATCCTTAAAATATATTTATTAATAATTTTAAAAATATAATATAATATTTTTATTTTAATAGATATTTAATATAATTTATAATATTTTTTAATATAATATACTACTCTTAATATTTTTATTTATAAAATTATAGAAAAATATTTTAATAATAATATTGGTATAAAAAGTATTAAATAAATTATTCTAATATTTTTTAAAATAATATTAAATTTTTATAATAAATATTATTATTTATTTTATTTCATATTTGTAATAAATAATTTCTAGAAAATTTATCAACTAGTGAAAAATGGTTTACACAACATATTTCAAACACTGTAAAACATTTTCCAGAAAATGTAATTCATTTTACGGAAAATATTTTTCAGAAAATGTGAGTGTTCTGTCAAATGTTAGGGTTTTTTTATCCTAAAATGAAACGTGTGAGGGAAATGCTCCAAAAAAAATATAATATGAGGCAAAATTACCATTTTGGTATACGTTGTGAGCTAATTTTGGGATTATACATTTTCTTAAAATCATATATAATATTATGTTGTAGTTCTATTTTAATTATCCGTTGTTAAAAGATTAATGTTGATGCTTATGTAATATTTTTTTAATATTATTATAACATTATCTTATAATAACACGTCAACATTACTTTTAAAAATTAATGATAGACGACAAAAATAGAAATAAAATGTAAGGTTATGCGTGATATTAAAAAAATAATAGTTAATTGATTGAAACAAGAATCAAGTAATAATTGGTCAATAAGTCAATACCAATAATTAATAAAAAAACTCAACAAGAGAATGGGAGTTGTCTGTATCCCGACAGAAAACAAAAATTGGGACAGAAGTGAAGATTAGGAACATAATTTTGTTTGGCAACTAAGATTTGGAACATAAAAAACATTTGTGTGTTTTACCTTGAAGAAATAGCAAAATAAAACAAAATTTTTTTTACTTTTAGTATAAAACCAAAAAACTTAGTGGATAAATATGACAGAATGATTGAGTAAATGATGTGGGAATTTTTTTTAATATAATCCATTCTGATGATTATTTTTTCATCTAGGATGAATTGTATAATATCAATTTAAATATGTTAGGTGTTTCATGCGTCTTCAAATTAAATATGAAAACTCAATGTCGTCTTCAGACAAATGAAGAAAACTCCACGACTGTATAGCGTCTTCGGCCAAATGAAAAAAATCTCAGAAGCACACGATGTTTTTAGACCAATAAAAAATCCTAATTCAAAAAAAATCTGATAGATACATTATATAAGAAAATAATTTTTTCCATAATTTTATATGGGCGAGGAAGCCGGATAAATATGAATAGGTAATGTAGTCTAGTGTGAATGCTATGATATATAAATTGATAACTACGATAAAGTTGAGCATTGAAATTTAAAAAAAACTGCTAATTTTACCCCCTCCCCCAACAAAGTAGGCTACTAGGATGTTCTAACTTTTAAATTTTATATAATGTATTATTCGAAAAACTTTTTATTAAATTAAATATTCAATTTTGTTGGTAAAGAAATGGAAGTT